TTCAAACGCGCATTCACTTAGCCATCTTTACAACTACATCGCACTTGTTCATCACTTCACAATGTTTGTGCTTGGAGAAAATGGACAATTAATTTGCACATGGACAGCAATTACAGAGAACAGCAAAATTAAGGAGTATTTTTAAAAATTTGGAAACATTGAAAGGCAAATGTTCAGATTTCTAAAAACAAGGAACATGTTAATGAACTATACTATGTTTTGAAAATAACAGTAAGCTTTCTACCATTTTAAAAAAATAATCATCAGATTTAGTATTTTAGAAATAAATTCTATAGAATATATTCTCTGAGTTAATTCTAGTTTTTCTAAGTATTTTACATCAAATGTTCTTCAACCATAATAAAGTAGGTGATACTCTTCAGCCTCAGTGGGAAAGCGGAACACCCCTAAATGTTTAACGATTTCCCATGTCATCCTCTTCTGTCCCTGTTCCTGACAGCTTCAGGAAATTAAACAACTGACACAATGAACATGAGTTTATACAACTTGTGAGCTATAACATGGGAGTTTCTTATTCAGCAAATGCCTTTTAAAACAGTATCATGGGTCTCTCTTGCTTTATCTCTGCGTAAGGGCACCTGCTTCACTACAGGAGCAGCCTAGACACGGAATTTCAACTGACAGAATTCAGCTGGCAGAAGACAAGCAGGGGAATAAGCCTGCCTGTTGCTGCCAAGTATGGTGTTGCAGGCAAACTACAACCTTGTTGCTCAAATTTCCAGCCCTCATCAGGTAAATGTGTATTCACCTCAGCTTTTATTCTTATTTTCACTGTGAAATTTATCATTAAACTTTTGCTCACTTTTGCTTTTGCTTTCCATGGAAAGGAGAGCTTGCTTTTGGTGTGTGATCATGTTAGTGATAAAATTTCTATTCACTTCTGAGTTGGACTGGGTTTTATTGGGAAAATGACCTAGTTTGCAGTACAAAAATTTAGTTATGATGCCAAAAAAAGAGGAAAAAAACAGTATTCTGTCTGTTCTATAGAATTCTTTTTTTATCACAGTATGTCCAAATACCTTACAAACCAGAGCACAGAGACTGGAAGTGACACAGCAGGACAAAGGCAAAGCCAAGAGAACCCAGGTCTCGTCTGTCAGAGCCCAATACTCTCTATCTAGTCTATCATGTTTCTATCAAAAAGTCAGGAATGTCTGAAATATAAAAACATAATACATGTTCTGTTTTGCATACAAATGTATGTACACAACCTTTAACAAACTGGCTGTGTTGTGTGAAGATATCTGCTCGATTACGAGGTGGGGAAGGCTAAATGATCAGTTTGTTCACACGTGTACTGAAATACAACACCCAGCTAAGATGGGAAGCTGGATCAGGATCAGTTAGCAATCCAGTGAGTAACACCATCATGAATACTACACGCAGTTTCTGCAAAACTTAGAGAAGAGGCAGGGTCGCATTGTTAACTGACTCTGTTAACAAATCAGCGAGCAGGCTGAACCACACTTACAGCAAGTGATGGTTACTATGACAGTGTAATCCATGGCCTTAAAATAAATAAATGTTGAATTACAATTCACTAGCAGGGACTTATGTAAATGAAAAATAGCAAAACTTTAAAAATCTAGAACTTTCTGATCTAAATGGCATATGGCTCATCAAAGAATTATTTTGGAGGGGAAAAAAAAAAAAGGAAAGAAATACTAGAAACTTCTACTGACCAGCTTTTAATTCTTTAAAGGATGTTCCAGTGGGCATGAGCTATAGCTCTTCGGAAACAATTGCAATTGCTGCAATTTTGCCAGAAAAGTGCTAATTTCATGTCTAACGTCAGTTAAAGTTTATATATAAACTTTAACAATGCATTTTCTCCAAGAGGGGCAAAGTTCACACTATAGGCAAAAAGTCATCCAATTTTAGGTGCTGTTCCAGTGATCCCCTGTGTGAAAATTCTGATTTAACAGAGGGAAATGCTTTTACCATGACTCATTTTTCTGAACTACGTAGTGTAGTTGTAAACTACCTACCAATTTATTACCTGGCTTCTTAGGAGTGGTTATCAGTAGCTAGGTATCTTGGGAAATAAAACCGATACAACCATCAGTAAAGCAAACATTTCCCCAAATGATATGCTGTGTCAATACAGACGCAAATACTGCTGTTTAACATTTAGTAATGTAATACTTGTATCACACAGGAATAAGCTTAGCCACAATGAAAGGACTGCTTATCAGCATGAATATTAACCACCTGGGACACATCATATGTTATTATATACTAGCCAAGAAAATAACATTAAAACATCTTCCATCCCATGATCTAAGTTTATTTATCCTTTTATGAAGGGTACTTTTTTTCTTCTAACCAAGATTAAAGTCTAATCAAGGGGTCAGAATCTTGATTCTCACCCAATTTTTACAGCCTGCTCTAGATTCCACAGTTAAATTAGCCTATCTGTTTCGGTCAGGGCTGTAACATTTTTCACTCTAGTCAACTTATACGTGCTAGAAAATGCCTCAGCTTTGTAATTTGCTGGTATGGAATTGCTTGGGGAACAGGTTTAGCCTGTATCGAAAAAAAGAGGCTTCTGGGGGGGGGGTTTCCTCAGTATGAGCTTACCTCTGTTGGGCGGCTTGTTGATATTACGAGTACAGCTACCAGGAAACCTCCATGAATTATGAACAGACTTGACTTTGTAACTTGTTGCAAGAACTAAACAAGATTTGTTTACTTTGTATCCTGAGATCAAATGTTGATCACAAAACATCAGACTGGATCAAAAGAAAGGTTTTACTAGCTACGTTATCACCAGGTAGTTAAGAATATTTTTTTCAACATAAGTCTTTATTCTGCAGATTTTACTTTGTGACTCCCAGGGGTTAGCTACCTTAAAGAAGGGAAAACAGTGTAGCACAAGTTCTTTATATCCCCACTGCCTTCTCTGGCCTACCTATTGCAAGCTACTGCTTGTCATCCTGTGCTGCAAGCTTCAGAGAATTGTCCTGTATTCACTTCCATGACCCAGTGGCATGGAACATACACATCTAAGTACTCAGAACTTTATACAGACGCTAATATTAAGGAGGCCGGTATCTGAAGCCTGTGCCAATGGAAATATTAAATAACCATCACCTCAGTATTTTAAAGCTAGCGGAGATGTATTCTATAAAGTTAATCACTTACTGTGCTTGCTAATATTATTAAAAATATTTTTCATGTGAAAGCGCAGGGGCCAAGAAAATAATTTTCTTATTGCTCAGTGAGGAGCTGAATAATGAAATACAATGTTTAACCTCCTGAGAGAAATACCCTGGTAAAGTGTGCATGATCCTCCAACACGCTCTGAGGTTAAAAAGCTGCTACTGATTCACAGCTGCTGTCCCAGCTCAAGCAGAAGGGATTTGTGCTTTTGGTGCTGGTGTTGAATGAGAGTGCCAGATTTAAGCCTGCTGTTAATGCACGATGCCTATAGCCACAGAGACCTGTTACACTTGCCCATAGAATATCCTGAAACGACTAATATTATTCTTAGATGCACAACTTTATAAACTAACATGCTTCTCTTTAAAAATAAAGATGGGTATTTGCTGTATGGAATTGGAATTGGAGAATACACACGCTTACCTGGCTAGTCAGCCTTTAAAGAACGAAGCTGGAGCGTTCTGCAACTGAGAGGAACAGAGGCTACGGAACTGCTCAGCCAGCCAACACGACTGCGCTTTCCCAGGAGATGGAACACGGTGCAAGTGTGGAATCCGGTCCCTAGAGAACTAGGACTTTCCAATGCAGTTCATATAAAACACGTAGGACTTCTTGTGGAAACAAGTAAATAAAAAACCTTTCCAGCTGCTACATGGAGTAAAAATATTTTGCTAATTTAGCATAAAAATGAGAAATCACTTTGCCCAGATTTCATATAAAAACAACTATGCTTTTTTTTTTTTTTAAAAAAAAGGCATGTTTTAAATCTGGCTGTTTTGCTACTGGAGTACTGTACATGATGTTTTAAAGAGCTTCTAACCAGAAGAGTCACTGTTACAGAGCTAAAATTTACACTGTGTTTACATGCATACTGTTAACCATCTAGATTTGACACACAGAAACTAAGATGCTGATCCTTATTAAGACAGGTCTACATTTCAACCCACTTGATGAATCATAAATAAAATTTCAGTACTGGAAGAACAAAAATGTTAAAATAGATTTTGAAATCAAAATAAGGCAGTGCAGAATTATCAGTGTAGAGAAAAGAAGGTTCTTGTACCTCCTCTTCTAGAAGAAAGCACGGCTGGTTAATAAATTGAAGGTTGAGATACAGCAGGTATTTTAATTCCCATTTCATTTAAAAACAAATGGAGTTCAAGGTAATGGATACCCATACAATGCATGTGCTATTTTGCTTGCAGAGTTTAGCAGATATAAAATTTCTGAAGCTTTGTATCGTCACTGATTCTACTGGTTCCTAATTAGACCAAATGACTCTGTAAATTTGAAATACCATCAGAAGACCACAAAAGCCAGTCTCATTTTTCATAAAAACTGCTAAATATTTAGGAAATCTAGACAATTCCACATATTTTTCCATGCTTCATTTAAACTTTGATCAGCAAGACTCTGCTTTTATAAATCACCTACTGACATCTTCATAAACTGGCTTGGGAAGAAGGTACAGGTTTTGTTACAAGGGATTTTAAGATCTTACATACCTCAGAGTCTGGAGCTATGGCATTTCTCCAAAATAGTTCACAGTTCCCACAGTTAATACAGTACTGCAAAATGGCACTAAAGTGCATAAGTATCTGAATGTTTGTTGGGCTAAAAGGTGCTGTGCAAGCTTAAGCTACTGCTTCGCCATGATATACAAGATCATTTGTCTTTGGGGAGGGGGTACTAGTTCTGGAATGCCACCGGTTTTAATTTTAATGGAGGATTGTCTACCTTTCACCTTTCTAAAAGATGTAAATGCCCCCTTTATGACTCTTCTGTTTGTCAAGAACAGTAAAAGAGAGAACAGATAATTTACCAGAAATGGTATTTAAAAAAACAAAAAAAGGGAAGAATACAAGGTACTCCAGATGAAAAGTGGACATGCTCTTTGTACCTAGCTATGGATCTTCTGCTCAAATGAACATGCTGTTCATTTTATCAAAACATGAGTACTAAACTACCATAAATAAAATACATACAGAACAACTGAAACTTTTTTGTACAGTAGCTACTTTTACATTAAACTTACCATCTTTTCAGATATGTTGAAAATTAGGACTCTAAACATCATTATTTCAAAGTATCATTTTTAACAATCTTGCACAGGCCCGACAATCAAAAACACGAAGCTTTGATTCAGATAGCTTGGCAGGTTTCGCATACTTCCGACAGGTAGGCTACTTTGAAATATGTTGGCTGTGTTTTTCACGTATGTGTTTTATTTTTATCAAAAGACAGTTTGAGTGTTTTTATTTAAACCTTTACATGAACTGTTTTGTGCAATACCACTGCCAGTGTAGCTTGAGAAAACAAAACGTGTCTGGAACATTGACTACAGTCCAAGTGTTGTCTACTTCTTAAAAAAGTAAGATTCTAGGAAATCCAGCGTGAGTGCATTTTATTACAGGAAGTCAGTCCTAGAATAATTTTAGTATTAAACAGGTACCGTTTCTACCACTGGTGATTTGATGCACTCCTCATGCAGTCTGCTCTTTTCTGGGAGGTTTAGCGAATTCTCCGCAGGGTGCTCTTGCACGCAACTGTCGCCATTCAGAGCTGAAACAAAGCCATCTGGAGAAGGACCTTTCAAGTAGGAGTGAAATTCCACTTGCGGGTGACTTGGCCTGTGCTCAGCGTACAAACTGTTGCACGGAGCACTGCTCTCACCTTCAGCAGATGAGCAGCAAACAATCACTGAGGGGTTTGCAGAAGGGTAATGAGGGCCGCTAAAGGTTTCCTCTGATTGCCGTGTGTAGTCAACAAACTGTTCTGAAGTCATGTTGTAAGGCACCAGAGAAAGACTACCGTTCTTGACAGCATCCCTTTCTGGGTAAGTCTCACCGATCTGGTTAGCAGTGCCAGCAACGTGGTTCTCTATTTGGTAATACAGATTTGAAGAGTTAGTATAGTATGAGGCGTTTTTAGAGTGGTTTTCATGCACAGCAGTTCCATCAGAGTAGCAAAGGACAGAAGGAAGAGGCACCATATCAGCATGGGAGCCCATGCTTTCTACAAAATCATCTCCTTTTTCTTCCTCCTCATCTTCCTCCTCATCTTCCTCTTCCTCTTCATCATCATCTGATTCACTAGGGGCTAAACTCTGTGTGCTAGAATCTGTAACTCCACTACAAAAGCTACTCCCATCTTCCTCTTCCTCCTCTTCCCCTGGGCAGTCCAAGTCCTCAGCTGACTGAGAATGCATAACCGCAGCCGGAGGTTCGGTTTCAATCTCAAAATTTTCTGCAATTGAGTATTCAACCGGATGGGGTCCCGGACTCATAGCACTAGTGTGCGCACTGATCTCACTGTGGCAGCCATTTAGCGCCGGAACTTGCTGCTCTCTATTTTTCTCCAATTCAAGTTTCATTATTGTGTGCAAAAAGTGAGTCCGTACACGGATAGGATTAAATTCAATTCTACCTGCTGTATTGCTACACCCTTCTTTAGTGCAACCGCATGGAAAAGACATACGATCCACCTTTTAAAGAAAAGAATACAGATTAACAATACGTAGCACGAGCCTGGTGGTACAACAGAACGCAGACAGCCTAGAGAAATACAACAGCTAGGTGGGATTCACCTTGAGAAGTGCTTGTCACAGTCAAAGCTAACAATAACTCAGAGACTTCACCCTGGAATTTGGCACTGCTGAGAGGAACAGTACGGGAGCCGTACATGCCATAATGCTGCAGGGCAGCAAAACGTGGGGCTGTTCCATAGGTGAAAGCATTACACAGTGGAACAAAAAATAGGTAGTTTTTCTATTTACGGATCTGCTACAGCTTTACTTCATCTTGTGCTCAAATCTAGACGCAAGCATTACCAGAAAGAGTCTTAAAATTTGGTAAAAATAATGAAAACTAAAAACTTACTGAAACAAACTGAATTATATATAAAAACCTTTATAAAGTTGCCAATGGAGACACCTGACCACAGACAGCAGGATTAAATAACTCCAGTATATTTTAAAAGCTATTCCAGTCAATTGTAGATGCAATATTGTAAGCTTAGCAGACTGTGGGCAGAACTTACCTATCTAACAACAGCGACCTGAAATTTCTACAGATGTGACTGGATCCACGTGTCGGATCATTAGATTAGATAGCTTTAGGTCTATGATTCATCTGCACTGCAACACCCACACATCAAATACGATGCAGAGGAGAACCACGTAACACAATCTAGTACATCTGCCCCACACGTGAAGATGAAAACAGGGACAGCAAAGAGAATGGATTATTTAAAATAGCAGAGAAATTTAGCTTGGATTTAAGAAATGAAGAAAAATGCATTCAGGAAGAAACCAACTCAGCTGCATTAATGATGACTCAGGAGGATTAGCAGAAACATCTTTTAGGGACCATTCTGGCACATTTTCAGCTGTACAGAGGACACTATGTAAATGTGCAATACGAAATACCTTTTTAGTCTGCAGATGAAAAACTACCCGCTGTATTAGCAGATGTATTTTTGTATTGCCTACATGCAAATTCCTCAGGCATGCGTTTTAAGTATCATGCATGTTAAATAAAGGACAGTACCACAGAGTTTCGTTTATTGTTTCTCATTGAGCTTGGACTATAATTCACATTTGGACTGTATGTGAATTGTCTCTGAAATAAAAGGTAATATCCCTTCTAAAACCTGCAGGCTACTCACTCTTCTGTTGTCTGCATCTGCATATTTAGACAAAGGCCAAAGAGGAATATGAGGAGCAGAATATTTGTGTAAGAAGAAAAAAAAAATAAAAACACCTAAGCAATCTATGTGCCTAAACCAATCATAAAATAAAGAAGGATGTTGAAGAAGACTGACTGTATTGTACACTACATACTCTTATATCTGGGCCTTTATAAACTGGTTTGAGATCCACAAATGTTATTGTCTAATAATTAACTTGTTTCCAGTAGCTGTAACTTGAACCACAAACAGTACACACCTGCGCACACACACCCACCCACCCCCACCCCCCCCCCCCCCCCCCCGATAACGACACTAATACAGACATTTACCTGACATTTTATGCCTGCAAGACTGCAAGTGCAAGTTTCTGGATCACAAAAAACACGGCAGTCACAGCCACAATCCTCTCTGGACAGGCGGATGGCCCGCAGCTCGTGTTTTTCTTCTACATCGATCTTCTTCACTCCAGAGGCTCGCAGCAATGCCCTCCGCTTTTTTGTCGGCAGGGGTTGTAGAAAGAAGTACTCATCCACTTCAGTGTTGTCTAGATCAATATCGTCATCAGAAATGTCATCCAGTGTCAGGGTGTTAGCTTCTTCAGATTCCACTGTGCCATTCTTTGTCATCTGTTGCACAGAACAATTAACAAAGTTCTTAAACTATACTCACACATATATACGTATCATAGATGTAAATATGTGCACTGCATTATGAACGGGGAAACACAACAATTCCACATGACTGCCAGTAAGTTCCAGAATACAATTACAGATGGGTGAAAAGGCAGCTCTTCCACATTTAAAATGTGAATTAAACATGTTTTTAGTTTCATGGTTGTCATGAAACTAATTTTTTTCCTAAGTTTCTTCTAATTTCTTCTTGTTCTTTACATCCTTTATCATTTGTTGTTATTTGCCAGATCTCATGCCTTTATATTATTTCATAAGGTAATTTTTGAGCCCTTAATTGATTCTAGTTCCCGTCTCTGGGCTCTCTGAAATTCTTCAGTATCCCTCTGGAGATAGTAATTATACTACCAACACTGTTTCAGATGATGATGCATCACAGATTTGTAAAATGGTGTATTTTATGCACTGTTTGCTATCCTGTTCCTCTTCAGCCTGACAAGCTGTTTGACTTTGTACAGCTGAGGTCACAAAGCAGTATTTCCACTTCATCACTGGGGCAGATGCCTGTATTTGCTTCTGGAGTCGACAATTTTAAGCCTGGAAGTCACTTCATTTTGCCCCTTCCTACCCACATTGATTCATGTTTATTTGCAATGCATTTCATAGCGCTGATGCAGGCAGCTCCTCTGAAGTTCCTTCTAGTCCTCTTTGGTCCTGAAAACAACCCACTGACCTTTGTGCTGTCACAGGATTTTAGTACTTCATTAACCAGGCCAGGTTATTCTTAGGTAGTTAATAAATGAATAAACTTAGAAAAACGGAAGTTGTGGAGGATCTTGAGAAAAGTTTTTAGAGGATTCATGCTCCCTTCCTAGGGATGGGAATTTTTGAGCCTCTGTAGATGGAAGTATCCTGGTACTATATTATTACCTATATATAGTCTAGCTCTCAAACCTTTCAAAAGTGGTTTCAAAATTAAATGGCCATGAGCATCAAGCGCAAACACCCAGCACCACTTTCACAAGGCAGCACACTTCTGTACCACACTCCTGTAACTCATCTCCTATAGCAGGGGGTGCATATATTGAAGGAGAAAAGAAAAATAAAAAAACTACTGCATTGACAGAAGGTTAATTTTCCCATCCATGGTAGAGCTCACTTGTTGCATCTGCCAAGTAACACAACTACCGGGTTTACAAAAGTTCTTCTACAGAGAAAATTGCTTGAGACTCGAAAGGATAACAAATGTTAAAACCAAGTTCAGAGAGATGATGACATTCACTACAAAAGATATATTTTCTCAGTAGCAAGTCACTCTGAGCACTGTACTACACAGCAAGCATGAAGCAAGCGCAGCTACATGATTTATTGTGTCATATAATAAATCTTTTTTCTTTTATTATTGTTCTGCGAAAGAACTTTGCTTAAAATGGAAAACCAAATAAACACAAAACCAGATTCCCAGTGTTCACCCTGCTCCATGTAATGTTCTCAGTGGATGCGGCTGCCGAGTTGCGCTAGCTGAGCACCTGGTCTCGCACTTTTGTGAAAAATCCCCACGGTGCCACTATGTGATAATTGTACACTGGTGAAGCCTCCAGTCCCATCTGCATTAACAGTTTCACCACTGGCATCACCACGACCTCAAAAAAATGGCCCCCAGTGAATGCCATTTGAATGTTTCCTGCCTCTAGAAAAATCGACATTCAAACACACCCTGTTTTCTCTTCTTTACTTGCAGAAAATTTCAGCTTGGCCTGTTATCCCACATAAATTTTTAGACACCAGTTTTAAATACAGATAAAATACTGAAGTCATAGCCACCGCTGCCCTGTTTCTTGTGCGTTTCAATACTTAGACATTTAACAACTCTCACTGTAAAGGAAACTCCCGGTTTTTCTGCTACTAAATCCTGTCATCTCCACCGAGATATGCTTCTTCTGGGTACAGAAGCAGTCCTGAACCTAACCCGTTCCACTATTTCTTCTTTTATCACATTCCTGTCTGTTCCATTTCCCCATTTATATTAACAGTTTGTCCTTTCCACAATCTTTTGGATTGTAGCTGTTATTTATGGCATTATTGAATTACTCAGTGGTGAACTCCTACTGACTTTTCACTCTTCTTTGTAATTGCAGCTTTGCGTTTAGAACAACTGTGCAAGACAATCACAGGAAAAAACCCCTAATTATTCCTGACTTGTAAAGTCGGGTTAAAAGCACTACTCTTTCCTTTGTAGGAGGAGAATCTGTGCCATGCCTGGTAGTCTTTACATACAGCGCACGTGTACACGTTACACCGCAGAAAGAAAAATTCTCCTGCGATCAGCAGCCATCCCTTCTCAGCATTCAGCACCGTATTTAGTTCACACAAAGGTGTTCTGCCACTTCCACAACTCCGCGTTCTAGGCTTTGTTGTTTCCTTCTCTTTTCCGTGTATTCTCCATCTTTCCACGTTACTGTGGCCTTTGGAGTTCAGCGCCTTCACTTTATTCCATGTTTCAGTTTATTTATCATGTCTCTTATCCCTATAACACTCAAATCCCTTTACGTGCAGCTACTTCTAGCTCTTTCTTCACCTTTAATGCAGACATGTTCAAGCTCTCCTCTCAAACTTCCTTCAGATTGTTTTCTTAGTCTATTTTCCATTTACACTTCACAGTGGCTAGGAAAAGAGGGGGTAATTGCCCCCTGATCAGTTCTGTCTGGCCCTGGGACAATGGAGAGGTGATTTACACCAGGTATTTCGACATATTAGTTCAGTAAGGCAGGAAAGCCAACATCAGCAGTCACCCTTGTTCTGTATCATCTGCAGTGAGCGACCGGGAGATCCACAGCGTCACCGCAGGCACCTCGCACCAGCTGCCTGCAGCAGGTGGGAGGGATGCGCCACTGCACCTGCAACTCAGCCTGAACGTTCAAACCCAGAATGGCATCCTTGGGGTTTTTTTTATTTTTCATTTTTTGTTAGCTAGGTACAACTAAGTACAGTGTATTTATGTTTTTTGCTTTCTTTTTTTTTTAATATATAAGAGAATGACCTACCTAAGAATTCTGATTTCTCTAGTTTTAAATACACAGGGCTCAAACCACTGCTTAAGCAGATCGCTGTTATTTAACTGCCTGTCAGAACTTAAGTTTGAAAGTGGGGAAAGGGAAGAATTCTAATCCCTGTTTCTGTAATTATTTTAGTATTTTATTCCATTACTATTTAACAAAAATTAAGTTTCAGGGCTCTTACCCATGAGGCAAATGCTGTGACTGCTCAGCTTACAAAGGCCCCCCCCATGGAACCACACCAAAGCTGTCACGCGTTCCTCCTCCTCCCACAAACCTCAACAGCGTTGCCACGAGCACCGAACCCGGTCCGCTTCCCGCAGGCTGGGAGGTCAAATCCCTGGGCACCAAGGGGGGCCACACCGCAGCCTGCCATTCCAAAGCACCTTAGCTCGGACCCTGGGGCTGGATCACCTCCTCGTCTCCTCTGGTTCTTTTTCTCAATTGTGTCACACAGAGAACGAATGAATTAATGAAATGAAAGTTTCGAACACTTCTCAAACAAGTAACTGGCTGACCACAGAGGGAGGAAGATTATCAAGAACCAGCAACTACATTCTCCCATACAGAACTTCAGGGGAACATTAAGTGCTCTTGATTGTCATAATATTGTTCATCTGATTTAAACTTGGTATGTAGATGGGTAAAATTTCTCTCATAAAGCTGAAGGTTAATGTCCTCACAACAGAACAAGGCAAGGGCCAATGAATACGTGAAGCCTTTGGGTGAAATTCACTTCAACTCTGCAAAATGTGAAAAATAAAGGTTAGACACCTTTGCCCGCCCTAGCTGGAAATTATTCCTTACAATTTCCCACAAAGGAAACCAACTGTGTCCACGGACCCGGAAGCCTCAACACCACCAGGCTGACGCTAATCATTTGAACAGATCTTCATGGGAGGAGACACAGTGAGGAAGCAATACGGACTATTCCAGCTAATGCACTGTGCTTACTCCTAACGCTTTCCCAAATGACAAAGTATTCAGTAAAGCCTACCTTGCACCTTTCATCCTGGCAAGATGGCTCTTGTGTCCAGACTGCTATTAGAAATCTCACATTCTGCTGCTAACAAGTGCTTATGCCACCGTCAGCAGTGTTTACACCAAAGGGCTGGTGCTAAATAGCTCAAGTGACTTGAAGACGATTTTAAAGTCTTTATCTGCTTTTAATTAAGAGAAGTTTCTTATTTGGCTCTTCACTTTTAGCAAGTAAAATAATAAACAGTACCTAACATTATGGAGACTCAATTTCAATATATTCCTGTATTTCTATTTTTTTCTAACAGATTCTACGAGAGAACACTTTGTACCTACAGACTTCCATATTTTAATCCAATGAAAAAAATTTAAAAAACAGGGAAACTGAAATTAAAAAACACACTGGAAATGTTACTGTTTGCATTATGGTTTTCAAACAGAATAATCTTTTTGAGCAAACTTTGCCCTACTTTTTCCCATTTTCTTCATTTTTCTCTGCAGATGTACAGTAATTTTAATGCAAATCCTGATTAGTACATTTTCATTAAAGATCATAATTGCTGACACTGTCACCTTAGAACACCACAGCGTTTCTTTTTTGCGTTCACTTAGAAACCCTGTGAATGACCAAGCAGCTCTCCCATCTCTGTAATGGGAAATTAGCAAGGCCCAGCGGTCTTCAGCAAATAAACCACGCTCAGTGCTTTACAGTGACTTTGCACTAAGTCAGCAAGCCCTGGATTTGTTCTTGGGAGTGAAAGTGTTTGGTGTTGGTTTTTTTTTAACTCCAAGTGTACAATCAGGGATGTAACTAAGCCAAGTTTAATGGACTCGTTCCAAAACGAAGTTTTCTGTTTCCTATGTCTTTATACATGCTCTAAAGTGAAATATTTTACTCTAGTAAAAGGTTTAACACTAGTAAGATGACACCATTTTTAAGTCACTCTCAGGATGCTGACAACCTAACCACAATTTCTTGATATTTGAATTGAAACTTTGGAGTCAGCTTGCCAGTCCCAGAGCATGCTAGTAAACTATTCCCACAGCAACTGCTGAGGATCAGTGAAGAAAGAATCCCACCACTGCTGAGCTAAGTGCAGGGGAAAGGACTCATCTATTTGGTACAAGGAAACAATTAAAATGAGGACAGAGGGAGGAATGCAAATCACGCTTTCCTTGTTCTCTGAATACTTACCAAGAGATTTTGCAGGAACTTAACAGTCACAGTACAGATTATCATCCACTCAAACAGCTGACTGGGGAGATGGAAGAACACGTTGTATTTGGAAGATGAGCAGCAAGTAGAGTCCCAAAAAAAGAGTGGGCTGGAGTGAAGTAAGTAAATGAAGAAAGGAGATCCATCCCAGCCAAGAGGAGAATTATGAAAGCACAAAGAGCCAAGCTCTACTCCATACAGATGAAGGCTAAAAGGCCTCATCCGATCTTTAAATAGGATCTGTGATTTTTCTTGATTTACTTCCTAGCTATAAAAAGAAAGGTGAAGTATTTGCGTGCCTTACTCTTTACTCACTCCACTGGGGATGCCTCTCTTTGAGCTGACTCCTGGAAGTCAGCCAAGGGATCTGCACAGAGTCCGTGGTTACACTGACACAGCTCAATTCACCCTTCATGCTCTGAAGATCCTGTGACGCGAGATGTTCAGAGGTGGAACCTCTATCTAGCAACAAGTCACTAACACTCTAGCCTTTGGTTTCCAACCTGTCCAAGCATCTGTCTGTAATTTGCCTTTGTCCTGAGTGGCTTTATGATTATTTGTTTTCATTGTGACAGTTCAAATTTTATGAACTATTTAAGAATCTATTTAGCTATTGAAATAAAAAACAACTGGGAGACTGAAAAAAGTAATTACAATAGTAAGGGTCGTTCACACTTCTTCACGAGTTCAGACACAGAGCTTGTGAACATAGTTCGTTCTATGGGAAAAACACCGAAAGGCGTTTCTCAAACTTGGAGGGTACCAGTTTGCTCTGAGCAACTGCAGCAGTACCTGAAACAGAGACATAATGTCACAAAAGAAGGGGCTATGGAGCACAGCTGTTCAGTTACAATTGTAAATTTTGTTCACTCTTAATTACGGGGTTCATGTGAAAAAGCCCAAAACACACGCAACCCAGGCACTGCGCAGGAAGTGTTGCATCCACCACAAGAGCATAACAAAACCTGAAGTTTTGCCACCAGCTCTAAAGAGGCAGAGGGGACACTGCCAAGAACACACCCGCCTTCTCTGTTCTCCTCCACTCAAACACACAATTTCTTTGCTCTCCTATGCTATGTTTAAAAAGACAGCTTCAAAACTGTGTCCAAGCTTTGTTCTGACTAGCTAAACTGATACAGCTGGTTAATTCGTCCCTCACATTTCTTCTCTAACACAGATGTCCTTCGGTGAAATATTAAAGACACAGGATCATATAAATTGGTATACTGAAAAAAGAAAACATTTTTAGTGTTACTGTTCTTCTCTTCTTGCCAAATCTGCTCAAGTTGGCCAAGAAAATGAGCTGTGTCTCTCTCTGTGCTCTAGGATGTTACCACTGCCTTGTCTAACAGGGCACTGTGCAAGGGCTCGGAAGACTCCTTCTCTTCCTGGCACTTCCCGACTTCTGGACACTCCGTTCACAGCCAACCCCCACCGCGCTCTGCCTTTGTGCTCCTCTGCAGAAAGCGGGGAGTAAACAACCACCTCCCTGTAAAGCACTCTCAGGTACACATCAGCAAGCGCTACCACAGCACTTGGTAATAGCGAACAAAAATACCTCTTCAGTAAAATTAAAAAAAAGAAAGACGCCATTGTTTCAACTGAAAATGGAGTTGACAGAAAGGAAGGGGGTTTGTTTAACGCACACACAGTGGGCCCATATAGCTCTGACACTGTTCAGGTAAATAAATAAGGCAGGGATCAAAGTCTCGAACAATTTTTACCTTCAATTTTAGAGAATTGAGTTTTTCCTCCCTTAGGTGCTCCCTTAACATCTCTCGGTGCAGCCTCTCCTGCTCCATGGCAAACTCCCCGAGCGTGTACTGGCGCACACTGTTGTGGCGCGTCGACATCCCCAGGGTGCTGCCCCCTTGGCTGGGCACGCTGGTGAAGCCTTGCCTTCTCGTGAAGTAATACACAGTAACACAGTTAAAGTGGACATTTTTTGTTCTCTTCCGCTTCTCTCTCTTCAGGATTGAAGAAGCTAGAACAGATGCAGATTACAACATGAATGATAACTTGCAGTCATGTAGCAAACTCATCACTTGTGTAGTTCTATTCACCTTAACAGCACCTGGCTACGCACACTACCCAAGCTCCGAGGTGTGCACTCTAAATGAGATCACGTTACAAATATTTACTGTTTATACAAACCTAGAAGCCATTGCAAACAGCTACAATCGTGAACACTGCTGTATATTTTAGAACAGAAATTCTTGGCCTCTCACAGCATTAAAAAAATGTTTCAGCTTTTTACCAAGGAAGCAAATAAATCCCAGCAAAAGGAACTTCTTTCCCAGCGCCACCTGAAAGGCAGTGATCCACTGACCCGCTCCTCTTCAACCCCCCACCAACAAAACATCGCCGCAAGCAACAGCAGCGAGGAGAGCAGCAGGTCCCGTCTCTCACGGGTCCACGCACACTGCTGCTGCTCTGGCAGCACGGCTCAGCTGCAGGCAGCTGTGACTACAGCTTTAAAGCACCGGATCACACGGGCAGAAAAGATTTCTCTCTCTTATAAGCTAAAATGTGAGAAATTAGTAATAGAAAAACTACAAAGGCAGTTATGTTTAGTGTTTCAGACTGTCTCAGAAAATCAGACCATCATCATCATCCTCACAGAATAATACAGGAATAATGCTGATTAACAATTAGATCCACCTCCCTTTTCTTCACCTTCATCCTTCTTTCTGCTCCCATCCGCTGCACACACACGTGTGTACATATATAATCTAACGTGCAGAATTTTGACCAAAAAAAAAAATCTAGTCTTCTCTAGTTCCCCTCACACCTGTGCTCAGTTTTTCTTATACACATATGCAGTATCGTACCAAATGGACTTGTTTAAAAACAAATGCCAAATTTTAACTGTTAAATATTGGTTTTTTCTACAGACATTCAGTAACTCCTTCCAACGACACCAATCGATTGTTTCTCACTGATAACAGCGGTGAACCTTTAGAGAAAAAAGAGACACAAACATTAGAGAAAGACAAGAGAGAATCCTTGATTTTTACGACGAGCAGCCTGATTTATTTGATTTATTGCAAAATGGCAACAGGACGTTGAGAATGTAGGCAGTAAGTCATTGCTCTGCAGCTTACAGGCAGCAACTGGGCAGGTGTGAATGAGAGACCTAACTGCCAGAATTCAGGCAGTAAGACGATTTAAAAGGTGCCTGACCACTCTCGAAAGACTTGGAACCATTCTATAACAGCAGTAAGAGCAACATGACGTACACTGCTAATCTAAAACTGCACCCTCTCTGGAGATTGGAAGCACTTGGCCTCCAGCTTTGGTTTTGTAACAGGTCTGGTTTACTGTCACAGCTAAAACGTAGTTCGTTCTCTAATACTATTATGTAATGTTAACCACCATAAATGTAAAAATCCCCAACTTTTACATTAAGTAATTCAACCAAAAAAAATAGTATAATTTAGCTAACTACATGAAAAACAAGTATATTAGAAAATTCAGTCCTGTAACCAAGTTACAGACAGTATGCCCTGCTGACATCATCACAGAACTATTTGGGGCTCAGGAAAACATTGAAATAGTATTATTTTTCCCAGATACTGACAAGCAGCTAAAAGTATGGTTTGTTATATAAATAACATGCACAGCTTCAGGTGTGCTGCAGGTATGTTAGATGGTAAATATAAAACAGCTAAATAAGCTCAGGTCCTACACTCATTTATAAGCTCTCAGTGCAGGGTGTTCCAAAAAGGTGTAGGATGTACAAGGAGGAATCAAAAGATAAATTCTGTTACCTCAGGCATGTTAAAGCTTACATCCAAGATTAAGCAAATCTCGTATCAACAGAATCTGTCAAAGATATCTACAGGAAGCTTCTAGTGGGGGAAGAGGGTTATTTTGTTAGAAGAGACTAGCTGATAGCAGTATGTCAATTTAGCATGATATTAAATAGTGTTTTAATGTACTGTTTTTTTTCATATATGCCACAGTTTCAAAACAAAACTATCTTTAACAAAACCAAATTTTTAGCATTTGGAAGATGGTGTAGCTTTGATATTGTGACATTCTCTTTCAATTTAGCATGAAAGCAAATACTCTGAGTCAGAACCTTCACTGCCTATATGCTCTTACGCACAGGAAAGCGTGTCCTTAAAAATCCTGCTTCTGCGGAAGGCAGTATCTAAACCTTTTGGGATGCATCCGATTGCTGAGTAACAGTACTGTTGTTATTTGGATCTCAGCTGGATCTTGCCTTTATTTCTGAAGACATATTGACAGCTACTGAAGGGCAAGCTTCTTTATCAAGTAAAAGAACCAGCCACCAATGGAATGAGAGATAAATAAAATATTAAAGGAAAGAAAAGATAGAAGGTTAATCTTGGAAATACATACATATGCTTCATGAGAAAATAGAAGGTAATTGTGCCTGTAAATCACGCAAGCCAGCAAATGCCTTGAATCTTCATCTGTAAACTTCAGGATCTACCACCTAAGGTCTACGTTCACAGTAACTTGGTTTAAACCTTCGCGATGGAACTCCTGACATGGCTGCTTACTGGCAGGAATAGCAAATGCTGCAATAAGTGCTTCCATTTTTTTACGTCTGTCAATCTCTTTATGGAAGAGGTACTACTTTCACACTACTTTCTGTACTACTTTTCATACATAAAGAATCATACTGCTTTCTATACATACAGAAATGAACCTTAAGTTTTATTCACTAACATTAATAGTTAAATGAAGCTAGGCAGAAGACTCTGCTCTAATTACTTCCAGCTGAGAAAAAGAATGTAATCTATGATAAAAACTAAATGAACAAGCTTTTTCATTGCGTGGATTTTGGGGGAGGGGTGCGGGTGCCCCTGTGTGTGCTGTCAAAATTTAGAACATGGAATTTCACACATCGCTGTATGTTTATACCCAAAAGTTTGGTCACCAGGCTCTCTCAGTAAGACTGTAGTTGTCATGAGCAGTCTTGAAGAACCCATCAATGCATTTCTTCAACTTTTTTATAGTTCTTATCACTTTTAGTAATTAATTTATCACCATGGTCTTCATCACGAGCTGCAAGGGAAGACATTTTGAGCACCTCCTCCCCCTCCTTCTTCACTGACCTTGGTGCCTGCAGAGTTGTTTCTCTCACATCATCTCACTCTCTCCTCACTGCCGTCTCACCGCAGTTTTTTTTTCTTCCCCTTCTTAAATATGGTATCACGGGGTGCTACCACCATCGCTGATTGGCTTGGCCTTGGCCAGCAGTGGGTCCATCTTAGAGCCAGCTAGCACTGGCTCTATCAGACATGGGGGAAGCTTCTCACAGAAGCCACCCCTATAGCCCCCCCGCTACCAAAACCCTGCCATGCAAACCCATAACGTGGACAAAAACTGTGTTCAAATAGAATTAAACTGAACTTCAGGGAAGTGCTGGCATAGTGTAACTGCACCACCACCACCACTATAAATCCAGCACTATACAACTGTGTTGGAGACAGTGTGAGAGCCAACAGGTATTTGTTGTCAAAGTCATTAAAGTTCATGGGTTTATTTATGAACATTATAGTTCCGAGCCAGTCAAATTATAATTTGTATAAGTAAACAAGCACGTAAACATTCAGAGCCCTCAGATGACATGTGATTATTTTTTTCTGAAGCACATCCTACGATTTGGGTTTGCTTTAATGAGCTCTTGGGTGAGACACAAGCAAAGAGCTGTGAATAACTCTATTGTCACCTCTTCTGTGTTACTGCTAGGGAGCAGTCAGGACATATTCATACTTATGAGAATGTTGTTTACAAGAACAGATCAGGCAGGACCTGCACGAGATTACAGGATTTTATTCGATTACCCACAAGCATAGCTCAGAGATGTCAGCGAGGGAACTGGAGAATTGCGACCACCTCAGTAACCAAGGACACGAGAGGAAGCACAGGCAGCGCCACAGAGGCATCATGTTCTTGCTCTACTACTCTTCCCGCAATCTCCGAGCAGAGGGTGGCCTTAATGTGGCCTCAAAAAAGAATTATTGTTAGATATTGAATGGGAACATTGAAGATTTTCTAACATCAGGCACAAAGTGCTCTATAACTCATTCAGTCCTTTTGCTTCAAGCCAACCACAACTCAGATTCTCAGACCATCTTATCAAGAGTCAGGGGCCTGTGTTATTTTGCATGCACTGTACCTTAAATAGTACATTCAATTCAACTGTAGTTACTGCTAAGGACACCGCTTAACTCAAGAGAGAGCAGAAGGACATAAAAAATACATATTTTCTGATGTATTGGAAAGCATGAACATACGCCCAGAAGAAATTTACTGACATTAATCAACTAGTAAGCTCCTTTCAGAATGAGGGAGACAGACTGTGCAGGGCTTGCGTGCCTCTTCGGAGTCAGTCTCAAAGGTTTTGCAGAGAAGCAAAAGCTGGTACACTAAAAATTTATCCATAGAGAGCATAAAATCCTAGAATCACAGACGCGTTTCCTAAAGAGATCTAGCAACAGCTTCCTTGCTCGGCCAGTCTCAAACAAGTACTTCCATGCCACCTGCCCGTGCAGCCAGTGCCATCAGCGGATGCCAACATCACCCTTCTGCGCGGCAGGGCGGCGGGGTTTCAGCAGCTGCTGGACACACGCTCTCAACAGCAACTAGAAGGTGGTTTTTGAAAATGAATGCCACCATCTAGGGTCTAGCAGTTCACAGTGAGCAAGGATGCCAGAGGGAACAGGAATATTCATCATCACCTAGAACTGTCCTATGGCTCACACGTGATCTTTAACACGTTTATATACTACAAGTCTGACATATTCCATGGAAGGAAAAAAAATACTCCATGTATTTAGGCAACATAATTTTTAGTTCCATGTTTCAAGACTATATGGAACTAAATATTTTTGACAGGTAACTAAGTACTGTAATGCATAAAGTGTACCATTATCAGAGGGAAGGATGATACTGTTAAAAAAATAATTACCGCCACAGAACTATGTCTCAGAAATGGTCACTGTG